TTATTTTTCAAGACAAGAATTTTCTTCAAAGTTCAATGAGAAATAAATTGATCAGTCAAGGGGAAGAGTGAAGATGCAAAAATGGAGGGAACAGATGAAGCAGGGCATAGAAGACATATAAATTATTGAACAAAATTGATCTCTGAGAGTATGGAAGGAAGGAGAGAGGGAGGAAAAGAGGAAAAATGACTAGAACAAGGATGAAGACATGGCAGAGGAACTGAGGTTGAAACTGAAAAAGTAAAGCTAAGAGAAGACTGGAGAAATGGGGGAAAGAGAAGAGAAAGGAATGCAAGGGGAAGAGGATTTAAACTGATTTTTGTGCAGCAAAGACAAGAAAGTTAACATCTTTTTTCCCCACAAGAATGAGGCAGGGTTCTTCTGAAGCGTGAGGGACAGTGGGAGGATCAGAAGGAACCAGAGCAATATTGAGTACACAGTTCACATTGCAGATACCCGCTTGTGAATTTAAGAATTTCTCAGTGATCTAACTTTCTCAGCTGTCCCTGGGTGCCTAGAATCCTTTCCTCCCCTACAGCCTCTGCTGCCACTGATAAAAGCAATATGCATTGATGACATCAGTGGATTATCCCCACATGCCAGGAAGAACAATACTATCGGCTAGACTTTACTGAAGCAATTTTTTATTATGAATATTTTTGCTAAATTCAAAGGGATGTAGAAACACATGTATTCCCTTACACAATGATATGACTCTCAGTGCAGATATGATAGAATATACAATTACAGACATATGTGTGTCCTTAAAATAAAGTTTCTAGGATTCTAATATCTGCCTTTGTGGTACATGCCTATAAACTATAAACTTACAGAGTTGGAGTGTCTAGCCAAACATTTCCTAAACATTTGGATTTTATGTACCATTAAAATGTAAACAGGGCTGGTGAGATGGCTCAGTGGTCTGGGGCACCTACTTGGAACAAGCTAAACTAAGCGGGGCACGGGGACCGCGGTTGAATGCCCTCGGCACCGCATGCCAGCCAGTCCTGCCCCCTGGCGGGCTGAGCTGGCCACACACACACAAAATAAATAAATAAATATTAAAAAAAATATATATCTATATATCTATAGATATATAAAATGTAAACAGAAGGGGCCAGGGAGATGGCTTAGTGGAATAAGCACTTCCCTGGCAAGCGCAAGGGCCTGATTTCAATCCTTGGTTCCACCAAAAAAAAAAAAAAAAAAAAAGAAAAAGAAAAAAGAAAAAAATTCAAACAGAAGGACAAATAATTTTTACTTTAACCAAATAAAAATATTAAAACAAATAACCTAGTATCATTTATTTTTGTATGATTTAAAAAATAACATTAAATGATGTAAATCTTTACAAAATAAAAGACTCAATTTTCAAATAAATGACTTCACTTTGAATATCTTCAGCTTTATAATATTTAAAACATTATTCTTAATTTCCTAGATTACCTGCAGATATGAAAACATGTCAGAGAGTGCTGTTTTATGGAACTGTGTTTGTTAATTATGCAAACCTACAATGACTAACTCCAGCTTAGTCAAAAATAATAATAAAAAAATACCTGCTGTTTGAGCAGAATCACCAGAATGCTGACACAAATCTCTCATTTTGATCAGCTCATTTTCAAATATTTAGTCTTAACCACTCTTTATACATCTCTCCTAAAATATGATTATTTTTAGCAACCAGAGTTTACCAGGAAGAGCAAGAAATATACTAATTTAAAAAGCAGTTGAGAAAGATGATTTCCAGGAGATGAGAATAGTTATAACACATATGATTTGGAATAGCTAGATGTAGTAAATCTAGTTTTGAAGGTAGATATCAGAATGCGCAGAACATAAGAAACAGATAACTGGGGGCGTGCGGGTTAGCTCAGCTGTTTAAGCACCTGCTAGGGTAAACCCCATCAGGCGCAGGGGACCACGGGACTGCAGTTCGATTCCCAGCTCCACATGCCTTACCAGATGCCCCATTAAGGCAGCCTGAGTCACCTCCCGCAAAAAAAAGAATCCTAAATAGAAACAGATTATAATGTAAACAAATGTATGTAGACATAGAGGTACTTTATTCAACAACACAAAAGCAATCACCCTCTCCTTTCTAGAGATAAGTGCATCTATAATTATACCTGTATCTCTGTTTATACCTGTCTTTATCTATATAGACACATGTGCACATGTAATTCAATTTCCTGCGAGTCTATTGAATACTGAGCCACGACCACCATCACGTTTGCCTCTACATAGCTTTTTCTGGTAATAGCCATCCTATCCATAACAAAATTAGGGAAACTGACACTATTAAAATACCATTAACTAGTTTGGTATGGTGAGACACGCCTGTAATCCCAGCACTCTGGGAGACTGAGGCAGGAGGATTGCAAGTTTGAAACCAGCCTGAGCAATTTAGCATTTTTGTGAGATCTTGTCTCAGAATCAAAATAAAAAAGGGCTGGGAGTATAGTTTAGTGAAAAGGCCCTGGGTTCAATCCGCAGTGTCCTCTAAAAACAAAAAACTCCATAACAGCATCAAAAAACTAACAATCAACAGTTTATATACACATTCAATCAGATTTTCCAATATCCTTTTATTTTGTATTTTGTATTTTATTTTGTACCAGGAATCGAACTCAGGACTTTGTACTTGCTAGGCATGTGCTTGTGCTACTGAACCATATCCCTTGCCTCCAGCACTCTTTATCACTGTTCCATTCTCAGTCTTGCATCTAATCCAAAATCATGTTGTATGGAATTGACAAAGCTCTTCAAGCACGAGCTGGTCCTTAGTATCTCTTTAGTTTTCATGACACTGACATTCTGAAAGTTCAGTTTAATTATTTTATAGAATGTGTTTGATATGGTTTCTCTTATGGTTAGATTCTGGTTATAAACTTCTGACTAGATACTAAAAAGTCAAGTAACCATCTTAAATACATCTTGTAAGGAGGCAAATAGTGTCGTTTGGTCCCATAATTAAATGTTATGCCTGTTGAGTTTGTCCTCTGTAAATTTTCCTATTTAAAATTTTTCACTTAATAAAAAAGAAATACTTCAAAACAACATAGTTTACTGTTCCTCCTCACACTCCATCCAGAATTTTTAGCATTTATTGATATTTCTTGTGTGAATCAATTGTTATAGGATGCTTGTCAGATGGTCATTTTCCAACTCCACTCTTGTTTCTCTATGGTCAGTTAACCTTCTTTTGTATAGAAGAGATTTTTCCTTTCCTTTCTTTACTGTATTTATATCATTATACACTTATGGGCTGCTGAGCTGGGGATATAGCTCAGTGGCCTAGTGCTTGCCTGGCAAGTGTGAGGTCGTGAGTTCAATTCTCAGTACCAAAAAAAGTCCTTATCTTTAAGGCTGGGGATATAGCTCATAGTATAAATGCCTGCCTGGAAAATACAAGGGCCTGAATTCAATTCCTGGAGAAAAAAAAAAGAAAAAGAAAAAGGAAAGTGAATTTTACTTGTAGGACTCCTCTTTTGCTTAATGAGTTGCAATTTATCATCTTCTAGTTAGTTTCTAAGTACTACTTATCTGGTCTCATGATTCCTTTAGCACTAAGGTTTTGGCCCAGTAAATACTATGAACAGTAATACCAAAGTAAAAACAGAAATTTGTATGATGTAATTAACAAATTCTCTCCATCGTATTTGAAAAACACTGGGGAATACTAGAGAGATGGCATTGAAAAATATCTGTACTGTTAATCCTATAGTTCTGTTTAGTTTGGTTGGAACTGGGAAACTATTTTCAGGCATTAATGCATCAGAATTAATTATTCTATTGCTTTAAGGGCTTGGTGCTACAAAATAGACGAGCTAGATAGTTGTGCATGGAGGAGAAAATCTTTGTAACTTACTTTTTCTTTTCTGCTCAAGATCACTCCCCCCACCCCTGCTGGTTTCATGACTGAGATGGAGCAACCCTAAAACCAAATTAAAGATTCTCTTTCCTTATAAATTTAGAGAAACCAGCTTAGGCTGTTAATTGTAGCATGAGGACCACTCCAATAACCCTCCTATGTCTCTGTGAGTTCTGCCCCTGTCCTCTCTTTGTCTCCCCAGTTGCTTTTCTGTCTACAAAAGCCAATTAGATTAGACCTCCAAACTGAGCCAAGGCAAACCATGGCCCCTTTCTGACCTGGGACAGATGGCACACTAAAGTGACACAAAGAGAAGGCTTTCACATTGAGGCTTTTTACAAATGTGTCTGTGAGGTTCTGGGAGCTTAAAAGAACAGGAAAATGGGCCAACAGCATGCCCAGAAGAACAAGGAAAGGAGTAGTGATTTTTCACACTCCAAAGAAAGTGGCTGCAATCAAAGGGTTGTAGTGTAACTGAAAGTACGACTTCGGGAGGAGGGACATGGCCACTGCTAATGCACAGCAGCCCAGCAGAAAAGGAACAAGGGAGTAAAGGCTCCTTCCTCGTCATTTTCCCACCATGTTTCTTTCAGCAGCTTCACATTCCCCACACCAAATGGAGACACATTAAGGCAAGCTGGTGGCACACTGCATAAAAGTCACCCGTCTTGAATACAGCAGGGTGGAGAAGAATGGAGCGAGTTTGTAGAGGGGTGGAGAATCCCACTCAACAGCAGCAACACTGAACTTTTAAATAAAGATTTAAGGACTTCTTTTTACAGCTCAAGGAGTGATTCCTCACTGAGCTGCTTTCTTCACGAGACACCAGATGAAACTATACCTCAGTTCTTTTACCTGAGGTCGCAACCTGCTGCTGGGGCACTCCTGAAACATACATCCCCCCAGCCCCATTTCTACTCCAGGTTTTCTTGTCTACCCAGCAAATGTGTGTGTGTGTGTGTGTGTGTGTGTGTGTGTGTGTGCGCGCATGCGTGTATGTGTAGTGTGTGGCGTGGGTGTTGCCATGTATTTAATTGTTTCCTCCAAATTTTGAACAAAAATATATCTTGTTATAAAACACTGCTACCAAAAAGCAACTGGTCAAGCAATAAAATAAAAAATGTAATCTTTATTGGTTTTGCACATTTTTAATGTTAGTTAGCATCATTTAGGGTAATAGTAGCATTTTCCAGCATGCACTTCACGAATACAATTTAAGTATTTTTAAGAAAAGGAGCCTATGGTTTGCTTCTATAAGAAACACAAGATGTCCCGATGTAATTGACTATATAAGTTCGCTACTCTCTGTTTTTGTGGGGAAAAATTGTGAAGCCCACATTGCATTTAGGACAATTTAGACGGCGCGACTCCAAAGAAATGAGAACATAAACAAAAATCAGGAAGAATTAAAAAGACAAAGTGACAAGTAAGCACTATTTTCCATCAGTTATTGCAGGCATTGCCAGAAACAAAGAAAAGTTTTATTTTTCCCATTGCAAAGCATAATTCAGATGTGAGTTGTGAATCTGTTTTGCCCCTTAAAATTATGAAACAATCTAAAATTAGCAAATATAATAAAAAAGCGGAAGTCTACAATTACCCGGTCTTATTTTCATTTCTTATTTAGCAAATATCTTCCATGAAAAAGTACTATGGACAGAAAGTAACAAAAGTGATTGTGATATCAATCTGAAGACAATTTCCTCTTCATATTTATGTACATAAAGCTGAAAAATAAAATAAAGTGACTTTTTACAGTATTTATATTTGCTTATAAAATTCTAAACACATTTTTAATAGGTTAAGCATTTTTTAAAAGATGTCTGTACAGTCTAGCTATACACCGTATATTATCCACTTAAAATTTAAAAATAACCAAAAATTGTTAAAGTGCTGCAAACTATTGCTTAATGGCTTAAAGGAATGAGACCGGTTGAATGGTTTTCTTGGTTTTGCCATTGGCATACGGTTTCCCATCAGGGAGATTTTGAGCGGTGTGAGAAACCGGATACAGTGGTGTCGTAGTACAGACATGCATTGCTAGCATCCAAACTACCTATAATGGTACAGAATACGTTACATTACCTGTATAAAGCTTGCACTCTACGTTTCTTGTGGTACATATTTGATGCAATAAATACTGTGCTTACGTCATTATTTGTTTGCTCAAACGTGCACCACAGGGTAAAATGACTATTTACATAATAAATAGCATTTCATTTACATACACAATGTCAACCTTGCTGAGAGCTGAAGATGGCTAAACAAAGTGCAGGCTGAAGCAGAATTTATAAAGGGTTCTTTTGGTCATTTCAGTCTTCTGGAGGTCGGGGGTGGGTAGCAAATTTCATTGTGTAGAGATTTTTTTTTTCAATGCAATCAAAAGAAATACAACATTTATGATTCCAGACATTTGAGTGAAATTTGCACCTATCCTAAGACTTAATGATCTACCTCAAAACAAACTACTTCAGAAAACATATGGTCCAGCTATCACCGCTTACCCCTCCCAGAGACACAGGCAAGATTTAAGAGCTATTTAAGAACTGTTGTTGTTTTCCTTGTGACAATTTCTCATGCATGATCTGTAAGTGCTACATGCCCTCATGCAAACTACAACTTTGCGTAGATGGGAGGGCCATGTGGTTGCCATACCCACAGGTGACATACGTACCTGTAAAGGAGGTCCTTTAGTCTATTTCCAAACAGAAACACTGTTTACAAAAATAGTCACATATAACAAACAACATATGGATTAAAAAAAAGATGAATCCACGAACAGAGTTTGTAAAAATGTGACAAATGTGGCAGTTGAAATGCAAACAGTGGATACAATTACTACACTAAAGTGTTTCATGTTAAACAACCCCCAAATTATAGGTTTGCACCCCTTTAAACTGGTCCCAAAGTCTGAGTAGCCACTTTGTCCCTTGTCTTCAGCAGTGTCAGCTGGTAGTGGGAACAGTAACCTCCTGTTAAGGTCATTTCTCCTTACACAGTCACACACAGTTTGCCAACAAGGGGTCACTGTCTTATGTAGGCACTGACCTTAAGTAGATTTATGTAAAAACAGTCTGTTTGGCATTGACCTCCTAAAGGAGTTCTGTTGACAAAAATACATCACCTTCACAGGCTGTAAACAATTTGTCACCCGATTATTTGTATTTGTCTTTGTTTATTTTCCTTTGGCTTTTTCATCTTTTCCTTCCTGCTCGTGTTTTTCTACAATTGGCTTTGTCACCCTGTCATAGGAGGGTGGACAAACTGCAGTGGACATAGTCAGATCGGTTTTCTCTGTAATAGAGTTTTCATTTATTCTGTCAATTATCATGTCTTCTTTTACAAGAAGATTAGCCCCACCTTTCAGTTTGTTTTTATTGTAGGTAAATGAAGCTTGTTTTACAGTTCGCTTCAGAAGGTGGCGCCTATATGCTCGCTGAATGATAACAGCAGATACTTCTTCTTGCTTCCTTTTTAATGTAGTAGTGATTGGCTGATAAGAGACCTTGGAGGGATTGGAAGCCATGAATCTCTCTTCCATCTGTATCCGCAGGGCATCCATCTCTCCACTCTCTCCTAGAACCCGCTTTGTAAAAGCAAATAAAATGTCCAAACAATGGATTCGGTCACCACTCACCATAGGCAAATCCATGGCAATGAGTTGGAGTTTGTTTGGTTGTGGTAAATTAAGAGGAGGTTCAAGGGCAGCTGCAAACTGAGAGAGTTTTTCAAATTCCATGAATTGGGTTGCATCAGGGTCAAACTTCTCCCAAACCTCGTAGAACATCTCAAAGTCATCCTCACTCAGGGGCTCTGCACTTTCTTCAGTGGCAACACTGAAGTTCTCAAGGATGACAGCGATGTACATGTTCACCACGACCAGAAAGGAAATGATGATGTAACTGACGAAAAAGAAAATCCCAACAGATGGATTCCCACAGTCACCCTTCACTGAGCTTCCGGGGTTAACTTTATTAGGGTCACAG